TGATAACAAAGGTATCCCAACTGTAGCTGTGTACATGACAGGATGTATGATTACCTAGAAGAGCATCAGGACTGTTTGAGGCATATGGTAGCTATGTGATTAACATGATGATTCAGCCTCTATGGAGATAGACATATGACAAGCATGATCATTTCTGACGTGGAGCTAATCTGAAGTAAACATTGAATACTGCTTTCTATTCCTCCATCTTGTGACTGTGTAACTCCCTCTCTTGGATATCAGCGTGTGAAGGACACTGTTCAGGAACTAGTTGATGCTCTGTATGTGATGACTACTTCCATTCTGGAGAGGATCACAAATACATGGATCCTGAGATTGAAGCTCAAGCCGGGGACCAGTGAGATTTTTCTAACACTAAACCTCTGTTGTTCCAGAAACAAGAAGTAAAGAGTGAGCAGGAAACACTGAGAGTCGTTGCTTTGCTCCTGAATGTGAGACAAAGAGAAGGCAGTGCTGTTCTGTTCAAACCTTTTTTCATTTCAGTGAAACCAGATATTTCAGAGACAGCATAAACTCAGTGTGAGGACAGTCCTTTCAAAGCTTACAGTACATTATATTCCCATCTGCTTTACAGATGAGACCCTGGGGGGCTGAGTGAGAAGAGAGGCAGATGATACATGCATCTCCCTGAGCTCATGTTGAAACCTTGTGTGGTTTCAGGATATTCAACAATCCCTGGACCGACCTTAAATAAGTATGACGAAAAACAAGGCTGTTGTTCCTCAAGTTACCTGTCTGTCTTGAATTAAAAAGAGGTCTATCTGCCAAAAAATACATACATACAAAGAGTATGTTCTCTGGCTGGAACAGTTTTCCACTCAGTCAAAAATAAAATTAAGATTTCATGGATGCAAGCCAATCATAAACAATACTATGCCCGGCATTACAATCCCCACAGCCCTAATTTCAACCACAAGCCTCATGTACTTAAATCATATCATATATATTATTCTGAATGGATCGTATGATACATTCATGTTTAAACTCCCATTTGGCCAAAGCACCTCTTGCAACATACGGTCTGGATCAAGACTAAATTACACTGTCTCCACATGTTTTGGAAAAGAAAAGAAAAGCCTTGTTTCCTGTTGAGCTTTCTCAGACTGAAAACATGATGAATTGTGTTTCTCCCGCCTCGGTTTCTTTGTGTTTCTTTGTGCAGCCGGTATGAATTGATTGACACAGCATTGAAGGCATTTAGGGAGTGTTGTTTTTCCAACATAATAATATGAGCAGGCCAGAGCGAGTAATGGCTGAGAACAATGCAAGGATGCAAACTGAGCTCACACTAATACCCTGCCCTTTATCAACATGCTGCCTCAACAAACAAACAAACAAACCAGGCCGAGAGGAACTGACTCACTCCTTCTTTACAACAAAATGAGACTGCCATAATCACACAGAACATACAATGCAGCAGGCTGACAGGAGTTTTCTTCAATATTCAGTGGCATATAAGAGCTCAAGTTGTCTTTTTCACTCCAAGACGAACACAATAAAACTCAGACGCATGGTGAAGACTTCATTAAGATGTCATCAAAGGAAACGTTAACCGAACAGTCTGGAAGCCATGGAAACTTTGATAGAAACGTTGTTGATGGAAATGTTTATTTCGTGTTGCCCGAACAATTCAGAAAGCATTGATAGAAACGTTTTTGATGGAAACGTATTTGACGGAAACGTTGATGAAATGATTGACCGAACAGTCTGAAAGCCATCGATGGAAACGTTGTTCATAGAAAAGTTGTTGAAAGAAACGTTGTTGATGAAATTGTTGCCCGATCAGTCTGGAGGCCATCGATGGAAACATTGTTTATAGTAACGTTGTTGATAGAATTGTTGTTGATTTTGTGTTGCCCGAACAATTCAGAAAGCATCGATGGAAACGTTTTTTATGTTAACATTTTCAATGGAAACGTTGATGATAGAAACTTTGGCCGAACAGTCCGGAAACCATTGATTTAATCATTGTAATGCTCTTCTGATATGCAAGACTCCTAGCTAACACCATTTGCTTGTCCATTATTAGCCAGTGATCTTACGTTGCCCACGATGAAAGGGGGAAGACACGGAAATGGATCATTATTGATCATGAAAGTGTTCTCAAAGCTGGTAAAGGTGCAGCTAGTTTGAATGACTTTGTATACTGCAGGGTAGCTTGTGAATTTACTCCAGGTGGAACTAAAGTCTGATTTAACACTTGATTATATTTCACATCATTCATCCACATCTGTAAAGTAACTAAAGGGATTAAATACATGTAGTGGAGTAAAAGTACACCATTTACCTCTGAACTGTAGGGGAGTAGAAGTACACAGTAGCATGACATGTAAATACTTTACTTCTTTTTACTACATTACTGCTTTTCATAAAATTAAATTGACTTTCTTTCAACAACCTATGGGTTCACAGGTTCAAAAACTGACTCTCCACCAATGTGTCACACTCTCTTTGTGGACTGGCATTATATTAAGGAAAACTATTTTTAGAAGGAATTGTCACTTTTCCCAGACCTGAGTAAAAAGTTTCCAATAATAAAATGGGCTCCTGTATTCTGGTAATGGCTGTAGAAATGTTGAAGGCGCCTTCGAGGCCCGCTGCAGTCTACCATATGTTTCTGTCTAATTCCTCACTTTTTCAGGCTTCTGTCTGCATTCAGTTTGGTTACGTCGTCACAATTTATAACTGAAGCGTTTACATTTCATCAGTTCTGTGTGAGCTGATGTATCTCAATCTTTATTTATTTATTTATATAGCAGATTTAAAACAACCTCAGTTGACCAAAGTGCTGCACACTCTCTGCTGTAGTTTCAGGTCTCTCTGCTGTAGTGTAATGTCTCTCTGCTGTAGTTTCATGTGTCTCCGCTCTAGTTTCATGTCTCTCTGCTGTAGTTTCAGGTCTCTGCTGTAGTTTCATGTGTCTCCGCTCTAGTTTCATGTCTCTCCGCTCTAGTTTCATGTCTCTCTGCTGTAGTTTAATGTGTCTCTGCTGTAGTCGCCGCTGTAGTTTCATGTCTCTGCTGTAGTTTAATGTGTCTCTGCTCTAGTTTCAGGTCTCTCTGCTGTAGTTTAATGTCTCTCTGCTGTAGTTTCATGTCTCTCTGCTGTAGTTTTATGTCTCTCTGCTGTAGTTTCAGGTCTCTCTGCTGTAGTTTCAGGTCTCTCTGCTGTAGTTGCATGTGTCTCTGCTGTAGTTTCAGGTCTCTCTGCTGTAGTTGCATGTCTCTCTGCTGTAGTTTCATGTCTCTCTGCTGTAGTTTTATGTCTCTTCTGTAGTTTCATGTCTCTGCTGTAGTTTCATGTCTCTGCTGTAGTTTTATGTCTCTTCTGTAGTTTCATGTCTCTGCTGTAGTTTCATGTCTCTGCTGTAGTTTCATGTCTCTGCTGTAGTTTTATGTCTCTCTGCTGTAGTTTCATGTCTCTGCTGTAGTTGCATGTGTCTCTGCTGTAGTTTCAGGTCTCTCTGCTGTAGTTTCATGTGTCTCTCTGCTGTAGTTTCATGTCTCTCTGCTATAGTTTCAGGTCTCTCTGCTGTAGTTTAATGTCTCTGCTGTAGTTTCAGGTCTCTCTGCTGTAGTTGCATGTCTCTCTGCTATAGTTTCATGTCTCTCTGCTGTAGTTTCAGGTCTCTCTGCTGTAGTTTCATGTGTCTCTCTGCTGTAGTTTCATGTCTCTGCTGTAGTTTCATGTCTCTGCTGTAGTTTCATGTCTCTGCTGTAGTTTCATGTCTCTGCTGTAGTTTCATGTCTCTGCTGTAGTTTCATGTCTCTCTGCTGTAGTTTCATGTCTCTGCTGTAGTTTCAGGTCTCTCTGCTGTAGTTTCATGTCTCTCTGCTGTAGTTTCATGTCTCTGCTGTAGTTTCATGTCTCTCTGCTGTAGTTTCATGTCTCTGCTGTAGTTTCAGGTCTCTCTGCTGTAGTTTCATGTCTCTCTGCTGTAGTTTCATGTCTCTGCTGTAGTTTCAGGTCTCTCTGCTGTAGTTTCATGTCTCTCTGCTGTAGTTTCAGGTCTCTCTGCTGTAGTTTCATGTCTCTGCTGTAGTTTCATGTCTCTCTGCTGTAGTTTCATGTCTCTCTGCTGTAGTTTCATGTCTCTGCTGTAGTTTCATGTCTCTGCTGTAGTTTCATGTCTCTGCTGTAGTTTCAGGTCTCTCTGCTGTAGTTTCATGTCTCTCTGCTGTAGTTTCATGTCTCTGCTGTAGTTTCAGGTCTCTCTGCTGTAGTTTCAGGTCTCTCTGCTGTAGTTTCATGTCTCTCTGCTGCTGTAGTTTCATGTCTCTCTGCTGTAGTTTCATGTGTCTCTGCTGTAGTTTCATGTCTCTCTGCTGTAGTTTCAGGTCTCTCTGCTGTAGTTTCATGTCTCTCTGCTGTAGTTTAATGTGTCTCTGTCTTGTAGTTTCATGTGTCTCTCTGCTGTAGTTTCATGTCTCTCTGCTGTAGTTTCATGTGTCTCTGTCTTGTAGTTTCATGTGTCTCTCTGCTGTAGTTTCATGTCTCTCTGCTGTAGTTTCAGGTCTCTCTGCTGTAGTTTCATGTCTCTCTGCTGTAGTTTCATGTGTCTCTGTCTTGTAGTTTCATGTGTCTCTCTGCTGTAGTTTCATGTCTCTCTGCTGTAGTTTCATGTCTCTCTGCTGTAGTTTCATGTCTCTCTGCTGTAGTTTCATGTCTCTCTGCTGTAGTTTCAGGTCTCTCTGCTGTAGTTTCATGTCTCTCTGCTGTAGTTTCATGTCTCTCTGCTGTAGTTTCAGGTCTCTCTGCTGTAGTTTCATGTCTCTCTGCTGTAGTTTCTTGTCTCTCTGCTGTAGTTTCAGGTCTCTCTGCTGTAGTTTCAGGTCTCTCTGCTGTAGTTTCATGTCTCTCTGCTGTAGTTTCAGGTCTCTCTGCTGTAGTTTCATGTCTCTCTGCTGTAGTTTCATGTCTCTGCTGTAGTTTCTTGTCTCTCTGCTGTAGTTTCAGGTCTCTCTGTCCTGTAATTTCAGGTGTCTCTGCTGTAGACCTGCTGCAGAGCTGCTGTACTGCCGGACAGAAATGGGCCTCAGATCATCAACACTGCAAAAACATGCCGACCAATGAGAAGCAGTCGATGTGCAGGTGAGTGACCTGGGGCCTCATTTAAAAACGTGCTGTACGCCATCTTTTGAGCGGTGTTTCGACTTTTATTTAGTCATTTATTAGCAACCGCTATTTTTACGACACATAGAAGCATTGGAGTACCTTTGGAGTTTAATTTAACAACTCAAATCAAAAAGTTCCACCATGTTGTTTGTGTGTGTGTGTGTCAGTGTTGCAGGAAAGCAGTGCTGCCTCAGCTCTTTGAAGGAGATCCAGTGTCAATCAGGCATGACTTCAGCCAGGAGAGGAGACACCTGTGAGGGGGAGGAGGATCGGTGCCCAGACGACTCTCACGAGGTAAGTTACTGTCTCACTGCCAGGGAAACTCAAACCTTAAAGGTCCCCTATTATACTGTTTTTCATCAATATATTATAGGTCTCAGATAAATACAAAACATGTCTCTGAAGTGTTTGGCTCCAAACACCAAACAGATCATTGCAGCATCCCATAATCCCCTCTGTTTCAGCCCTGTTTCAAAAGTGCTGATTCTCTGTCTGTTACTTTAGATGAAAATAAGGAGCCCCTCCCCACGCCCCTCTGAGAGATATTTGGTTGGAAAGAACACAATGGTGCTCTAGGAGGTTTCAGGTGTTAAGGGGGGTGGGGGGGTTACCTTGGTTGGTGATTGGCTAATGGTTACACAAGCCAAAACATCGTTATGACATCATAACGTGGCCAAAATCTGATCAGCTCATTTTCAGACAGGTTTTTATAGAAATGGATCAGGACAAAAAGTGAGAGAATCTGTGTTCCTGAAACTTTCAGATTCTCTTTCCACAGAGGGGACACATGTTGATGTAGAAGAGACGTGAAGAAGAGGGGACACATGTTGATGTAGAAGAGACATGAAGAAGAGGGGACACATGTTGATGTAGAAGAGACATGAAGAAGAGGGGACACATGTTGATGTAGAAGAGACATGAAGAAGAGGGGACACATGTTGATGTAGAAGAGACATGAAGAAGAGGGGACACATGTTGATGTAGAAGAGACATGAAGAAGAGGGGACACATGTTGATGTAGAAGAGACATGAAGAAGAGGGGACACATGTTGATGAAGAAGAGACATGAAGAAGAGGGGACACATGTTGATGTAGAAGAGACATGAAGAAGAGGGGACACATGTTGATGTAGAAGAGACATGAAGAAGTGGATTTTACATAATAGGTGACCTTTAAAAGTGAATCAAAGTTAAAGCATCCACCATAGAAGTTTCTTTAATAGATAACACTCAGAAGAAACAAGAGGAAGGAAGTTGCAGTATTGCAGTAATGAGTCTTTAAATTGGAAATGACTTCCAGGTTCCCTCGTTTTGAAGTCAACAGTTTATGAACATGTTTGTGGTCTTATATAACGTCTGTGGTTAAAACAAGCTGAAGAGACTTTCACGTTTATTCGTACGACATAAAATAGGTCAGTAAATACAAACACTAACAGTAAGGTTAACTCGAAAGCTTGAGAAACACTGATACAGAAAATAATATTTACTGTTTTGTGATTTACATTCCAAATGGGTAATTTATTGGTTTACAAATGGTCAGTTTGTGGACCACTTATTCCTTTAAGATCAGAAAATAAAACATGATTCTTTTATTTTGGGCTTCCTGCGGTGAGACTCTTCTTAATGGATCCCTCCCTTGGCTTCAGCTTTATGTGCGATGGTTGTTTGGAGCTTTTAATTAGGCTCCAGACCAATAGCCAGCAAATACGCTATAGACAAGAATAGACAATAATTACAGTTTTTGTGTTTCATTTTTTAATATATTTAAAGGTTAGAACGGATCACGGCCAAAATAAATAAATATATTTTGCTCTGTATGCCGCACTTAAAAAGTTTAGGCTTATTCAAAGGCTAACGAAGTAGCATTCACATTGGTTGGCTGCAGGATTCTAGGTTTTTTTTAAGGTTTGTTTCATGCACTTATTGAAAGTCTCTTTGGATTAAAGTGTCAGCTGAATTTAATGTGTAAAAAGATCACCGTAAGGTACTTTTATTCCTTTGGAACTACCGTATTATGCTGAGTCAATAACACTGTTGTTTTGGCCAGAATGAGATAGCAATTTCAGACACCTATGCCAACAGAGAGTATTTTGTAGAGGTGATACAAGGAAACTGTATTGGCAAACAGCTTAAATATATTGATAAAGAACTGCTGTGATTTCTCCATAAGGAAACAGGACTCGTGTTTTAGCTCAGAGCCAATTGCATTCCCCTTTCCTCCAAGAGAAAACCTGGTAGTCTGGCCCTTTGAGCCAACTGTTCATATTGTGAGGAGTCCAAGCTGAAGCATTGTGCCAGATCATTGTTTTAGAGGAAAGTAAAAGAAGCTGGAAGTCTGGTTTTCCTTGCATGACATGTAAGGAAGACTCAGGGACAGTTTCATCCCACAGGACATAAGACTGTTAAACACAATATTAGGTGGAATATAAATGTAAAATGAACAGTGTGATTTTAAGTCCAGTTATCCAAGAGAAGCTACGGAGCAGAGATGATTTGTGGGGATTTGTGTGTTTGATGTTCAGGTTTGCTGCAGCTGCTGTGCGCTCGGACTTCAGGTTCGAAGTGAAGGAAAGGGATGTGAAATCCACCAGTTCCTGGGATATCCCTGCGGTCACATCTTCCTCACCTGCTGCGAAGAGGAGGAAGGACTGAGCAAGGTCTCGCTGAGGAGAAAACCCAGACCAACGTCTATTCCTAGAGAAGGTACTTTCACACACTGATGAGTTTACAGTGACATTTGAACCCCAAAAACAAATCAGTTCATCCTTGAGTCCAAGGGTTATCTAGTTGGACGTGTGCGCTCTCCATAACGACAATGCTATTTGCTTGATATACCATTTATTTAGTGATTATTTACCCAATCACTGGCAACTGTACTGTTGAGATCAATTATATATGCTTTTGCAACTATATTATCATTGTAATGGGTTATCATATGAGACATTTGTGATGTGTAATTGTCATTATTAGTGTCTGCAATTTTGAGTTATGCACATTGGTTAATTTAGGATTGACTGTATTTTACAAACACCCATTTGAAATCAGAGCTACTCATGAGAGAAATGAAATTGATGTTATCAGTGCTGATGTTTACATGTTTCGAGACACATCATACAGAAATCTTACCTGCATGTATGGTGCAGTGATTGATTCTGCACAGTCCTGCCACATCTCAAACAAATCATACCATTTTGCTAACTGGAAATAACGGAAAAAAGAAAGAAAATGTCCTCATTAACAACTTTTTAACCACAAATTTCACAGTTTCACAATGGATATTTGAGTATAGTTTATATTGTCAGTTTGATAGCATCACAAACCCAAATCCTGCTAAAAGAGGCCCTTTTATGCTCATTTTCAGGTTCATGTGTGTATGTAGTGCCTCTACTGTGACATGTCTCCATGCTTTAATGTTCAAAAAGCTCTTTATTTTTGCTGCAGCACCTCTTTTCACCCTCTGTCTGAAACCAGAGCCCAGTCTGCTCTGATTGGTTAGCTGCCCGCCTCTGTTGTGATTGGTCAATCTCTTTGAGATGTCCCGCCCCTTAGCCTAAAACGTACAATGAGTTGGAGCAGTAGCCAATAGAAGCGCGAGTGTTACATAGTGACGTCAAGATGTTTCGGAAGTAAACAAAGGAGTCCAATGTTGGCGTTTCAGGCAGATTTTAGCATGCACCCCAGGCAGGGAATGCATTCAAATTTGACACAAACGTCCACCAAGGCTTAACTGATTATACATTTTAAGGAAAGGTCAAACATCAAAGAGCTAACAAAACATGTGTTGTCATTAACTCCTTATTGATGGAGGCATTCAACAGTAATTCAGGTTCACATACCAGTTAGTACAGAACATTTACTTAATTCTCCATCAACAGTGTATTCACTTTAACTAGCTTTAAAAACCCACTTCCACATGAACATGGAATTGTTCTGTGTTGAGCCAATGCTGTTTAGTCCTCATTAAAGTTTATGTCAGAGGAAGAACATGGGCCGAGTTTGATCTCCCAAAAGACAGATGCTCTGGGTTGATTGCGTCATTAAGACAAATGCTAAAAGATGTACACAAGCTGTGATGAATCAGGAACAGGTGGAGGCTGCTGTCGGTATACAAATGCCAGCAACATTTTCCAACGTTCTGCCAGTGACATTTAGATCAATGGGTTTTGAAGAAGCTGAGGTGATGATATGCATGACTCAATGCAAAATACCAACTATTATCTCCTCATATCTACAGGAACGTCTTTGAACCAGTTTGTTTTTTAACGGTTCTGGCTCTGCATATGACCGGTTTATCTTGTTTGCATCTTTAAGCTCCATGACAAGCAATTTGCATGTTTTTCTTATCAACGACAACAGAGATGTGATGGGTGAAATAAGACTTTAAAGAGTACCTGGTATGCTTTACCCTTTCCTGTAGTGTGTTAAATAGGTTGACCAATCACAACAGAGGCGGGCAGCTAACCAATCAGAGCAGACTGGGCTCTGGTTTCAGACAGAGGGGGAAAAGAGGTGCTGCAGCACAGGCAGTATGAGAAAAATAAAGAGCTTTTTGAACATTAAAGCATGGAGACATGTCACAGTAGAGACACTACATACTGATATACACCTGAACATCAGCAGGAGAGGACTCTTTAAAGTAGAGACACTACATACTGATATACACCTGAACATCAGCAGGAGAGGACTCTTTAAAGTAGAGACACTACATACTGATATACACCTGAACATCAGCAGGAGAGGACTCTTTAAAGTAGAGACACTACATACTGATATACACCTGAACATCAGCAGGAGAGGACTCTTTAAAGTAGAGACACGACATACTGATATACACCTGAACATCATCAGGAGAGGACTCTTTAAAGTAGAGACACGACATACTGATATACACCTGAACATCAGCAGGAGAGGACTCTTTAAAGTAGAGACACTACATACTGATATACACCTGAACATCAACAGGAGAGGACTCTTTAAAGTAGAGACACTACATACTGATATATACCTGAACATCAGCAGGAGAGGACTCTTTAAAGTAGAGACACTACATACTGATATACACCTGAACATCAGCAGGAGAGGACTCTTTAAAGTAGAGACACTACATACTGATATACACCTGAACATCAGCAGGAGAGGACTCTTTAAAGTAGAGACACTACATACTGATATACACCTGAACATCAGCATAATAGGGCCCCTCTAAGTGCATTATGTAAGACAACAAAACAATGAAACCTTAAAAAACAAGAAACCAAGATATTAAAAAAAAAACTTCCTGCATCAGCTAAAAAAAGGTAAAAACTCAAGAGCTTCAACCTTCCCCAGATCATTGTTTTGGAAATGTGCGACCCCTATTTAGTTTAAATATTGGAACCAGACACACATTTGCAGTTCATTATTAGGCATCCTTTGTGGTTGTCCTTTAACGGCAATCCAACTGTGATGGTGAGGTAAGGTCAGTGTGCCTCAGCCTGTTATTTCATTCATAACTTCAGAGGAATTCCTCCTTATCCCACACGGTTTAATGGGCTCTGTTCTAACCATCGACTGCAGCTAATTTCCTCCAGCCATAAAGAGAAAATGTGAATGATGTCATTCTGAACAAGGAATCAAATAACCTGCCGAACGCTGTGAAAGGTTTAGGAGCTGCAAAGACTGGCCATGCTCTCATTAACTCTGTGTGTCACTCTCTCTCTCACACACACACACACACACACACACACACACACACACACACACACACACACACACACACACACACACACACACACACACACACACACACACACACACACACACACACACACACACACACACACACACACACACACACACGCTGTCTCTGAGAATGCATGACGGATGCCTTTGCTTTGGAGGAAAATATGGATGAGATGTAATTATTTGCATGGGGGACATGTTCGAGCCTTTTAATTAAAACAGGAAACTTTTAAGGGCCTTGCTCCTCTGAATTGAATTTAGACCCCAGGTAATGACTGTGAGAAATACTCACTTATAACCCACTTCTGGATCAATTACTGCTGCAGTATACCTTTAGGAAATACATAGTAATATATAAGGGTGTTTAAAATGGAGTGCAGTTTGGCAGAGTTTGGTCGCTACTTTGTTCAGATGATAATCAGAAACAGGTTTATTACCAGGTAGGGTGACACGTACGAGGAATTTGACCTACATCAAAGTTCAACTCAAATTAAAAACCCAGATAGAAAACTATTTTAAGAAAACTATAATAACATTACAAAATATAGTAAAATATAGCAGTATTTACATGGAAATCAGCAGCAGGAAACCGATGAACTACTTTCTAGTCCGAGTAGGGAATGAGTCTTTATCTCAAGTGAAGGAGTTCAAGAATTTCGGGGTCTTGATCTCGAGAAAGGAGATAAAGGGAACTTAAGATGGCCTGGAGAATCGGAGCAGCAGGTTAACGTTCAAGATCTTGATAGAAAAGACCATTTTGATCACTGTCATAGTTCTATTTTGATATTTGTATGCCCATGACAGCCAAGGCCAAAGGTGTTATTCTGTCAGTTGTTCTCATACCAACACCTGAAAGTATCTCTTAGGTATTTGGCATAAACTTTCACTTGGACTCAAGGATAAACTGATTTGTTTTTGGGGTTTAAATGTCTCTGTAAACTCATATACGTCCCAGTCTTTTGAGTGTGGTATCTCATGAATGCATTAAGGTGATTTCTCCAAATTTGGCACAAACGAACACTTGGACCCATGCTGATTGGATTTAGTTGGAAAGGGCAAATGTCTTGGAACTTGTCAAATACGTTCTTGTCCATAACTGAAAATTGCAGACACTAATAATGACATGAGTTGAGTTCTATAAATGCACTACGACCAAAGGCCTGCCGTTACTTGTTGTTCAAGGTTCAAGGCTTTTATTAGTCATACGTACATAGCTACAGTGTAGTTATGACGATGAAAATCTTAGGTCACAGGCTCCTCCAACAGTGCAACACAATAAAACAGAAAAACAGAAAAAATAATAAGTAAATACAAAAAGAAAAATAGTAAAATAGTGAAACAGTGAATAGTTGCACCATTACAATAATTATATAGGTGCAAAAGCGTATATAATTTGTCTCAACAGTACATGTGGCAGTGATAGGGGCTGGGATGAGCAAACATTGACCGTGTAGCCATGCACACGCTGTTTTTGGTTGTAAAACAAATGGTATATCAAGCAAATAACGTTGTCGTCATTAAGAGCGCACACGTCCAACTAGATTACCCAGTTTAGCAACCCCTCTGGGATATGAAGTGGTAATAATCCCCACACATGTGTTACTTGTGGTTGTTCGTAATGATAATAGCTCACTTAAACACTCTGAAGTAACTGGTAAGGAGGAGTAGATGCATTTTTGTGTCGTTGAATCAGTTCATGAGGTAAGTGTTCGGGATATTTTTCCCTCCTCTCACTCCTTCTAGACTCTGAAGGCACGTTCCCCAGAGAGGCCTTCGCCATCGGTGCCACAGATGAGACTGCCAACGGAGTGGAGGAGCAGAAAGATGTAGACGAGTGTCTGCTCCACACGGGGAAACTGTGCCAGCAAACATGCACCAACACCTGGGGATCCTTCCACTGTGGCTGTTATCAGGGATTCATCCTGCAGGGGGACGGAAGACTCTGTGCTCCAGGTGAGCTACTGTAACTCAACATGCTCATTTCAGTTTCATATATCTATTTAGTGTCTCTACTGGAACATGTCTCCATGCTTTACAGGTCTCCTATCATGCAAAATGCACTTTCTGATGTCTTTTATGCATAAATGTGTCCCCGGTGTTTCAGGGAACTCACAAAGTGTCAGAAAACAAAACCCTCTCTCTTTTCCTCCGTACCCAAATCTCTAAAAACGGGGCTACAACGGAGCTGATCCAGATTTGCGTCCGATATGACGTAATATCTGAAATGTGGGCTGGCTTTACACCCACGGGCCTATCAAAAACGCTGCTATCAGAAACAATGCACGACGTGTTTTGGACGTAAAATAGTCTTTGTTTACATTAGCAAGCATCGCTAACACTCAGAGCTAACCTGTACTGGAGAGAGTATGTGGAAAGAAGCAGGAAATAAAAAAAGGAACTCACCTTTTGGTAAACCTGAGAGAGAAAAAGCATTTGAGCTCCATACTGTTTCAGAAATAATCCTTAATGTGGTTTGGAACATGATATGGTGTTTCATCACGGCAACATTTAGCTGAGAATCTCGGTAGAATTCTCCTGCACAAGCTCCCCCCCTCTTTTTTTTCTTTTCAAGCTAAGGACCCCGAATCAGCGTTTCTCTAACAGGGCTGAAATAGAGGGATATGAGGGATGTCTAAAAATGCATGATCTGTTTGGTATTTTGAGCAAAACACATCATAGACATGTTTTTTATATATTTTTATATATCTGAGACCCATAATATATGCCTAAAAATAGCATGATAGGAGACCTTTAATGTTCAAAAGGTTTTTATTTTTCTCATACTGCATCAACTCTTTCCACCCTCTGTCTGAAACCAGAGCCCAGTTTTCTCTGTTTAGCTGGCTGGCTCTATTTTGATTGGTCAACCGCTCAGAGAGGTCCCGCCTCTTAGCCTTAGTGCTACATAAACCTACACTACCTTTCTTCCTGTTTCTATGTGCAGTGATTCCTGATGAGGAGAACAGAGTGAAGGATTTCCGTCCTGCTGCCATCCCAACAATAACTCCTGCTACCACTACTGTCGATATTTCAACCAGAACCACCACCAGCAGACCTGTGCGCATCAATCCATGCTCAGGTAACCCCAACATCACAATACACAAGCATTTCAGCATCTGTACATTATGATAAAAATGCACATTTCAATACTGCTTCAGGGCAAAGTGATTTATTCGGTACAGCAAGATGATGGGCATCCTTAGCTTGCTATGCAACAGAGTTCTTCAATCAATCAATCAATCAATCAATTAATTGTATTTTTCAACCCGTCAGCCAATCAGTGATGCAGCCAGTAAATAAATCAACAAATCAATCACTCAACCAACAAATGACTCAGTCAATCAACAAATACATATATCAACCAGTCAACCAATCAATCCACTAATTAATTAACCAATCAATGAGTCAATCAACTAATCAATCAATTAGTCAATATATCAATTAATCTATTAGTCAATCAATCAGTCAACCATCAATCAATCAATACATCAACCAGTCAACTAATCAAACCATCAATCAATCAACTAGTCAATTAACCAATCAATGACTCAATCAACTAATCTATCAATTAATTTATCAGTCAATAAACCATCAATCATATTGGTATAGAGCAGGGGTCGGCAACCCCTGGCACGCGTGCCACCATTGGCACGCGGCACCGTAACCAGTGGCACACTAGGAATAAGTGCAATAAGTGTGCAAAATATTAAATTGTATTTTCGGATCCTGAACGAGACCGCCGCCAGAGCGCGTCTCCCCGTTACCTGCAGAAGGAAGCCATGCACGCAACGCAGCCCCACTCTGTTTAACTCCAGGTGACTTTCTGCCGCTTTCCTCCGTGGTGCAGGGCTGATCGTTTCACCACAGAGGAAAGCACTTCACAAATTGCAGTACCCATAAGGAGCTTTACAAATACCGCAGTTTTTGCGTGGCTGTGTCTTTAGTTGAAAGCCCAGTGGCGATCTGCTCATCTCTCATTGAAATAATATGCTACAAAGGGGCGGACTGGCCATCTGTGTGTTGAACTTTCCTGTCGGCTCCCAGACCGTAGTCGAGGAGGGCAGAAGCAACAAGCTTCAGGTTCAATAACCCACTTTAGCTTAAATGACTGGAGAGAGGCGAGCTCTTCTTGGGAGGCCGTTGCATTTATTTAGCTGTTCTTCTGTTTCACAAAATACATCACAGACCTCTGTTTTTCTGCTGCCTCGTTTCACTTCCAGAAACATACACACGCTCACTCACTGTCGCTCTGCCATCCACACACACACATGCACACGCCACACCCCTCTCTCTCTCTCTTAAAGGGACAGCGATCTCATCTCACTCTGCATGACCCTAATATCATAACATGTGTGTTCTGGAGAATCGCAGAACGGACGATCGTCCTTATTATTATGCCGTTTAAACCAATTATTTAAATGTGTTTGTTAAATTCGGCATCATGTAAGTTGTGCTGACAGGTACACACACTGCTTCCCCGCAGCGAGGCCCCCCCGCCCTCCTGTTGATAGTTCACGAGCGTCAAGCTCCTCAACACCCCCCCCCCCCACCCCACCCCCCCCCCCCCCCTGTTGATAATTCTCGATCGTTGGCACGCTGATAACAATTTTTTTTTTTTTTAATGGCACTTCATATCAAAAAGGTTGCCGACCCCTGGTATAGAGAAAGAACCTGGTTGAATATTTTTAGGATTAAGCCAAGTTAAGCCGCAGTAAAATAAAAATCCTTTCTGTTCCTGCTGTGAGACTTTTCATAATGGATCCCTCCCTCGGCTAAAGTCTCCAGCCCAGGAAGTACCTGCTGAAATCCATCAGATCTGCATGCAAGCAAGGCCTAGATCCTTCAGTGTCTCTCATTGTTAGTTATAAGAATATCCTAATCACAGTATCCAGGGGATTTCTGGCCTATGCCTCTTTGCAGCGAGACTTTCATGCTGTCAAATTGCGAGAGTTAATTTGGTTTGTATTGAATTCAATGGCTCGTGAATGGCTCCTTGTTTCAGAGAGTTATGATCAGTGTGAAGGTGGGAGCCTCAGGGAGCAAAACAACACTGCAATGCATCAAAAGTGCGCAGAGAAACAGCTCATGGAGGAGAAGTCTAAGACATTATGAGTGATTGAGTGTCCTGGAGGCGTATGTGAGGAATCCACCATCTGGAATGCACTTCTTTCTTCAAGTCTTCATTAAGAACTCAGCTGTTCACCATGGCCTTTGACCCCTAACCCATCACAATTTGTACTTTATTATTTATTATTATTTGTTCTCCATGTAAAGCGTACCTTGGGTCCCTTGAAAGGCGCTCTACAAATGTAATGTATTTGTTGTGAAAATCCTGAATGTACTCTTCCAATATGAGAGTAACATGATAACAAAGGTATCCCAACTGTTGCTGTGAACATGACAGGATGTATGATTACCTAGAAGAGCATCAGGACTGTTTGAGGCATATGATAGCTATGTGATTAACATGATGATTCAGCCTCTATGGAGATAGACATATGACAAGCATGATCATTTCTGACGTGGAGCTAATCTGAACTAAACATTGAATACTGCTTTCTGTTCCTCCATCTTGTGACTGTGTAACTCCCTCTCTTGCATATCAGCATGTGAAGGACACTGTTCAGGAACTAGTTGGTGCTCTGTATGTGATGACTACTTCCATTCTGGAGAGGATCACAAATACATGGATCCTGATTATTAAAACTCAAGCCGGGGACCAGTGATATTTTTCTAACACTATTATTATTATTATTATGTTGGTGATCATGCTGCTTGTGTTTTGCAGAAAATGGAGGTTGCAGTCAGCAGTGTTTAGCAGTTGCAGACCGGGCTCTCTGCTCCTGTTTCCCTGGGTTCAGATTGAAGAGAGATGGAAGAAAGTGTGAAGGTAAGAGCTGCTTTTCTCTCGTTGTGAATCGCTGGCTAATGGAGCTCGTATGAATCTCACACGCTTTCTCTACCAGGCAGGGGTTTTGCACATGGTTACAAACAACATAACTCATCAACATTACCTTTCACCGCTGTATAACAAGACCAACAGTGCAGTGGAGCAGTTGTTGGACACATTTTAATTGGATGCAGTCACCGATGATGGAGAAACATGCTGGTTTTGTGATACTAAACAATACACAACCATAATGAACCACTTCCTGGTGGTTGAGCGTGTTTCCTCTAGCATTATTCAACCATAGCCAATTACTCTTTGGCAGCTACAGCTGGAGTAACAAACACGACACACACTCCATTCATTATGATCTCTGTGGAAACTTGGTACAAAAGTGGCATCTCTGACAGGTAGGACTGCAGTTTGTTGTAGATTAAATGACAAAAACAAAGCATGTGCTCACTGGTGAAGAAACACCGGGTAGCATCATGTTTTCTAATAAGTACCACATTTCCTATGTATATTATTGCGTCTGTCAGGAGTCCAAAAAAGCTGCTAATCACGGGAAGAAGGATTCGCACAACTAAAGACTCTCCACTCCTTGCATTCGTTTAAAGGTCCCATGTCATGCTTTTCTGGTTATTACCCGTCCCCTTGTGTGTTATGAAGGTTTTTATGCATGTACTGTAAACGGTCTGCAGAGTCACAAACCCTCAAAGTACACCCTGTAGAGAGTAAAACTCTAACACAGAAAATATCTGTCTATGCTGCCCCAGAACGCCTCGTTGGAGATTTCTCTTTTCCCATTGTTTGCTTCCTGGGTTCTGTGACGTGTGAACACCCAAATCAACAACAAATGACCGGATTGGCCCAAATGGACCAATCCTTGGAGCACCTCACACACCAGGATCCCTTGGCTAACTAACAGGGAGTCCCCATTGCCTTGCATAGAGCTCCCTGGTTGGTAATAGACGAGTTGGGATGGCGGAGAAATGCTCTCCGCAGACCCATTCTCACAGCGTTATAAACCTTTTTCTTACTTAATATCAAGCCACACTTATTGTTTTTACTTCGGCTGTGAGTGTTTGTGTGTGCACAGGATGAGTTTCGCTTGTTCTCGCTGTATCGCCGACCCGGAAGCCTGTCCGCTCCTCGCAGCAACGAGCCTCGCAACGTCCCGACCAATCAGAGCACACTGGGCTCACAGGGAGGGGGGGGCAGGAGCTCCAACAAGCCGTTTAGGACAGAGAGTGAATACACATACTATACAGAGATGCTGTATGAGAAACCAATGTGAGTTTGGAAAATTGCACAATTTAAATCTATTCTAGTAGACCTCAACAATGGAAATATGATCAGTAGAAATGGCCATGACATGGGACCTTTAACCATTCATTCCAGGAAAACAGGTAAAAATACCATACAATCCAGTACCAATAACCGTTGCAATAGAAGTGTTATTGTGATGGAAATTGCGGTGGCGATTGAAGTGAAAAAGTTGCTGTCAAAATAAATCTTTACTTCACGACTCACCCCTTCTCTCTGTGTCCATGTACAAAAAAAAAGTGAGCAGGTGAGAGCAGTCAGGTGACAAACTACAAAAGAGATAGAGTTCAGTCAGTATATCAAGCATTGACAGTCAATGAGCCGCGGTCCCAACAGTTCTGAAATAAATCCTACCTTTTTGAAAGTGAGTTTTTGTTGGAGTTGATTCAACTTTATGTTCAGTTTGGAGGCTGTGGTTTCGCCTCGTACTGAGAGGTATTTCCAGTATTTAGTCTACCTGCCCTCATTGATGTTAACTGTTGATTGTCCAAATGTAATACTGCCGTACAAGAAAGCTTGCTGCTGTAGATAATAATAATAATAATAATAGATTTATTTTGTTAGTGCTTTTACAGGTGCTCAAAGACGCTTTACAAAGATAGTGAAAAAAAGAAAAGAACAACAAATAAATATATATAGTTAAAGTTAAAGTCAAGCAATACAAAAACAATCACACATTAAAAGCCAGATTGAAGAGGTGAGTTTTTGTGAGTTTTTTGAAGGTGGTGAGGTCAACGCAGTCTCTGATGGGTTGGGGGAGTGAGTTCCAGAGGGAGGGGGCAGCGACGGAGAAGGCACTGTCCCCCCAGGTCCGGTGATTGATGCGGGTCGGGATGAATAGGAGGTTGGCTTCTGATGAGCGGAGGCAGCGGGAAGGGGTGTGGTGGTGCAGCAGGTCTGTGAGGTAGGGGGAAGGGGTGTGGTGGTGCAGCAGGTCTGTGAGGTAGGGGGGAAGGGGTGTGGTGGTGCAGCAGGTCTGTGAGGTAGGGGGAAGGGGTGTGGTGGTGCAGCAGGTCTGTGAGGTAGGGGGAAGGGGTGTGGTGGTGCAGCAGGTCTGTGAGGTAGGGGGAAGGGGTGTGGTGGTGCAGCAGGTCTGTGAGGTAGGGGGGGGGGCCTGGTTGTTGAGGGCTTTGTGAGTTATGAGCAGGACTTTGAAGTCGATTCTTTGACGGACGGGGAGCCAGTGGAGGTTCTGGAGGACGGGAGTGATGTGGTCTCGGGAGCGGGTGTGGGTGAGGAGGCGGGCAGCAGAGTTCTGGATATGTTGGAGTTTATTGAGGAGGTTGGATGGTATGCCGTAGACTGGCGTAGAGGATGCTATTGCAGTAGTGGAGTCGTGATGTGATGAATGCATGAATCAGGGTTTCAGCAGCAGAGGAGGAGAGTGATGGGCGGAGACGGGCAATGTTTTTGAGGTGGAAAAAGGCGGTCCTGGTGATGTGATTGATGTGGTGATTGAATTTGAGCTGACTGTCAAAGATGACTCCGAGGTTGCGGATGTGAGGGGGGGAGATAGAGTGTTGCCGTCAAGGGTGAAGTTGAAATTCTGGATGGCTTTGGCACGGGATGGGGGGCCGATGATGATGATGTCTGATTTGTCACTGTTCAGTTGGAGATAGTTTGTTTGCATCCATGCTTTTATTTCTGATTCTAGATGGTTAATTGATCAATGAATTTGCAAAACGGCAAATACTTCTGGAGTTTAGTACACACTAGCACAATAAGTGTAGCTTGCTCCTTCATACACCACATGTACAGTGCTTCTAAATGTCCAGAATTAGTGGTATTAACAGTTTAAGAATTCCTTTTCTCAGATCATGAGCTGCTTAAATACGGGCCTGCATGAAAAACTTCTCATACACTGAAAGTTCAGTCCTTCCCTGCCCAGTTTATTGAATCCGTCTGGCAGTCGCCTCTGGATGCATAAGAACTACATAAGAGTTAATGTTTCCCCTCTGATTTTCTTCCATTCAGTGAGCAGAGGGAGGACTCAAAGTGTTCCCACATGTGGAGAGGTGGGTGGTCATTTTTAGGTTTAGACTGGAACGAAACAGAGCAAATAGCACTGCCTAACAATGGAGATAGAGACAGGTTCACATAACAAGGATGGAGAGAAGGGCGAACAGAAGTGTAAAGATCTCTGTGGTGGAAATTCCACACTTAATCACCTTCTGGTAAGAAATTAACAGATACAAGTTTAAACCAAAGTTGTGTTGTTTAATAAAGAGTTATAGTATTTAACAGAATCAATCTATTTCCAGCTGGAAGGACAGATAACCTGCACACTGATGTGATACAAGAACCTGACCGTGTTACAACAGAAAAACAAGCACTTTATAGAGACAAAAGACAAAAGGGGGGAGGTCTCAGCTAGAATTTACATTACAGGCTAGAGAAATGTTGGCAAGACGGGCGAAACTTGCATACATGGTCATTACAAACCTAAGATCCATATGATAACTGCTTGACAATGGTCAACCCTTCTGTCTGAGAACATTAAGTAGCTAGACGTGAATTTAAACTGTTAGAAAATAATGTTACAGTGACATTATATATAATTAAATGAGACTTATGAGACATTTCTACGATAGTCTCCATTTTGAGTTCATCCTCAGTGACCAAGTCAGGGGAGGTAAAGACCTTGAGGAACTGCAAATAAAATGGCCACCATAGCAGATGAAGAAGATGTTTTTACGCACCATTGGCAAAACACAAACATTGGAAAAAGTCCTTTCCGTCCCAAGGCTTAATGGCAAGAAGGGCTCAGGGGACAATGTGGACAGGGCACTAATGTTTAATTTGCCCCTAAAACGAAGACAACAAATGTCTTTAGGTTGGGGAAAAATGGGGACATTTGCAAAGGTAGGCCCCAAAACATATGTTACTTGAGCTGAATGAGTCAGTAAGAGTGTACAGGGAGTTACACGATGTTAAAAAGGGGAAACGGTTCATCTTAGTAGGTAAGATGAATGTGTGCTCCACATTTTAAGGGCGAATGGGCAGCAAGGGGGTGTTGTATTTTAATTAAAGACCACCTCACTGCAGAATATCCTTATTACACGGATACATATGTATAAATCAACAACTTGACTAAAAGTATAGATTTTTAAATGATCGTATTGCTTCCTCTGAGAAAAAATAGTCTGTTCCACTTCCATCATGAATCTAAAGTTTCCTGCTCTCCACAAATATAAAAGTGAATAACCAATAGTATTCAATAGTGATTTCTGATGGAAAAAATGATGTTTGTTGTCCACAGTTGACGTTAAACTGACCAGACTTTTTTTTCTGCAGATTAATATGACTGCAAACTGTCCCTTTATCCTCCTTAGCAACGGTTTGTTCTCCTTAGCAATGGTCTGTTAGCAAAAAATAACAGACCTCTGGAATGTACAAATCAACCAATCAGAATTAAGTATTCAACTAAGTCATGTAATAAGATACAATAAACGATATCCTGTGGCAGAGATGGGAAGTAGTGGAGTACAAATACTTCGTTACTGTACTTAAGTACATTTTTCTGGTATCAGTACTTTACTCCACTACTTATTTTTCTGACGACTTTTTACTTTTACTTCTTACATTTCTAACACAAATACCTGTACTTTCTACTTCTTACTTTTTCCAAACAGGCTGGTTACTTTAGTTTGAATCTGTGTTTGGTGGCGTGATCATTA